ACCAAGGCATGTACCGACTGCAAAAGGGAAAAGAGTATATCCTACTCATCGTTTACGTCGACGACCTGCTCTACATCGGCTCCACTACCGACATCGCCACCTGGTTCGAAGGGGAGCTGAAAGAAGACTTGACGATCACGGTATCCGACACAGTGACCCAGTACCTGGGACTGAATGTCGTCGAAGACAACTCGGCGTTCTACCTACACGCTGGAAAGTACGCGGGCACCGTCGCGAAGAAATTCGGTCTAACACCGACTACGATCCCAACTCCCTACCGCTACGGGAACAACAACAGCACCTCCGCAAAACTCCCCGCGAAGCAAATCCAGGAGTATCAACAGAAACTCGGCTGCCTACTATTCGCAGCAGTAACCTGCCGACCCGATCTCTCCTACAGCGCAAGCCAACTGGCGACGCATCTGAAGCAGCCGGAACAAGAAGATCTCGAGGAGCTCAACCGGGCACTACTCTACTTCATCTCCACGCCAACGACCGGACTTACCTACAGCAAAGTAACCACACCGTCTGTACGACTACTCGGATACGTCGACGCCGACCACGCAGGAGACAAGGAAAATCGACGATCAAGAACGGGCTACATCTACCGACTAGAACCTATCGGGACTATCTCCTGGCAGTCAAGCAAGCAGGAACTGATCGCACTATCTTCGGCTGAAGCAGAATATATCGCCCTCTGTACTGCGACCAAGGAAGGACTCTACCTACGAGAGTTGCTAGAGGAAGCGAAGATTACGACCCTGCCCGCCTTCTCACTCCTCTGCGACAACCAATCTGCGATCAAAATCGCAAACAAGGACGGCTTCGCCAACCGAACCAAACACATCGCCCTGCGATATTTCTTCGTCAAGGATGAAATCGCGAAAGGTAGACTCCAACTCAGTTACTGCCCTACGACAGAAATGGCCGCAGACTATCTGACGAAGAAATTGGCGAAGGCGAAGTTCGATTACTGCATGCTGCTGACCGGACAGACAAACGTCACCGGATCCGAACACGTCAGCACTCCAGAAACGAAGGGGAGTGTTGGAAATATCTCAAAGGACTTAAGCGTTTCTGAAGTGTAACACTACACTCGAAGAAGATCGCAACGGGTACACGAGTCAACGGGAGTTACACGAGGGGGCGGACAAAGAACGCGAAGGGACTCGAAGGGTCGCAACTGGAGGTTGCGACTGACAGTTACAACAGCGAGGATGGTAACCGAAGCGACAATCGAGTCGCTGTGCGACTCGATAAACCGCTCCTGCAACTGTATTCTACAACTGCTTTACTTTCCTACTTTCTATATATTTCTGTATGCTTGTTTCTTTAATTAATCACTTGTTCTCATATACTAGTACAAGGGTTCGACTGCCTCAACTTCCGCTGCACTACTCAAAGTCTCAAAGTCTCTACAGCTGGGACTTAGTCTCTGCAAAAGATCCTAAGGGCTTTTCTCAGCCCAATATACGCTAAACGTACGCGCTGTACACGCAGGGCTGACGTTTCAAAAAAAGGCACTCTGAGCTGACCCCCCCAAAAAAAAAAATAGTCTGAATGGCCTTCAGCCAGAATTTAGGGACTCTGAAATGTCAGAGTCCAGAGATGTGCAACTCTGAAATTCTCAGGATCGCACAAGTGTACTCAGGGTTACATTTTATGTTATTAAGAAAAGCTATTCTTGTGTATTACATTTTGCTACATTGGACAGGAGCCTATCTACAACTACTACTACCAAACCAAGCAATCACCACTAGCTAACAGGCACCTAGAACTCCGGCACATCTACAGTAATCTCATCATCACCCCCCTCATCGTCGGACAGGAAAGGGTCGTCGCCTAATGTTGGAGCCGCATCATTCTCATCATCACCCCCATCCTCCTCAGCCCACCCCTCCCCCGCGTACTCTGGCACCTCCCCCTGTCCATCCGTTGTGTCCCCCGCCACCTCACCCTCTAGGGCCTTCCCCTTGCGTTTTCGTTCCGCTCTTGCGAAGACAACAGATCGTGCTGGCCGTCTCAGCTTCTCTCGCCAGGTCGCTAGGGCTTCGGTCCAATTGATGTCATACTGCAGCAGCGAGATGGCCATCAACTCGGAGAGGCGCGCGTTGCAGAGTGAGCCACGGACCCAGGACTTAATCACATTCTGCCGAGAGAAGCCCCTCTCACATTCGACGGTTGACAAAGGCAGCACGGCGCAGGCCTGCCAGAGGCGCATCAGATTGGGCCAGCGCCTGACACGGGGCACAAAAACAGAGGCGGAAGAAAGGCAGTAGGAAATGCATACAGTGAAGGCGGATAACAAAAAGATGCGGTTGGCAAGGGCGGCGATGTTGTGCACACTTGGCAAGTAGAATGGAAGGTGGTGATTCACAAACGACAATATGGTTGGACTTGCCTGCTCGAGTCCGTCTTCGTGAGGTAGTTTGCCAGGCCTTGGTGGAAACTCTCCACCTCGTGATGATTCTGCATGATCGGCGCCCAAGTTGCGAGCTCCCTCTCCGCTGCCTTCACGTCGAAGCCTGGCAGCTTGTGCTCGAAGATGCCGCTGCATCCAAGCAGATACTCTCTCGTCTTCTTCTCGCGCTGCGCCCGTTGTCTCGGCCACTTCGCCGCCACCCAGAGCTTCGTCGGCGACATCTTGCGCAGATCCAGCATCCGCTCTTGTACGTTGGTCATGGTATCCTTGGCGTGCTTCTGGCACAGCTGCACGCAGTCCTTGTAGCTGCTCCCGTACTGGTGCTTGTCGAGGTGCCGCTCGTGCATCTTGTACGTATGGGTGACGGGGTTCCCCTCCAAGTCGATACCGCGCACCTTCACCCGCTTCGTTCCGCCGCGCCCGTACACCGCGAGGAACGCCGAGAGCCAGGTGTTTTCGGCGCCGACACCGAAAATCTCCCCGAAGTCGACATAGCGGTGCCGCAGATCCCCCAGTGTCGCGTCGATGTCCGTTGCCACCTCTGTGACATCGACCTGCGGTGTGAGAGGGGGGGGACACAGAGGAGTGAAAGACATGAGTACTTGCACCAGAGGAGAACACCATGCTTGCAAACATGAGCATCTTACCTCTCGCTTCTGAAACTTGAGGTTGAGGTCGTTCATGAGTGCCAGCATGTCGGCCAGGTAGAAGAGGCAAAACTGAAACTTATACGAAATCACAACCTCATACAGGGGATGCTCATACTCATACAGCAGAACAATAGCAGCACCCAACACTTTACACAGGCGTCGGATTGCCTCTCCCCTGGACAACCATCGAACTTGATGGATGCCTTGAACCTCAAGGTTGGTGCTGTGAATCGCCCGCTGCAGATGCTTGAAACGACTGCTCCATACGCTCGACCGGCCGAGAAGGTCCGCAAGGGTGCGAGTGACTTTGTCGACCATGTCGAGGTCTGGACATGAAGCTGCAGCATCCTTCACAGCAAGTGCTTCTCTGCATGTACCGACATGGGTAGTGGTTAGCACACAGAAACATAAGAAGCATAAACACACAGCAAGGAATACTTTGCCTCGGTGGCGGCGGTTCATCAGGGCGGGTGACGGGGGTAGGTGAGCGCGGTGGTGAGGGAGGGCGAATCTGGCCACCTGAGTTGATACGCTGCTGTGTATACTTCGTCGTACGTTGTTTCTTCGCCGAAGAGACAGTCGATGCGCACGGCACACTATAACGAACGGTAGAGGCAGTGGCGCAGTCAATAGGATCCACTGGTCCTCTGCTAGAAGATGCTATGGCTGGTGGGAGAACGAACGGAGCGGGGGCAGGTCTACTAGGCAACGATGGCTCATCGCGTGGGGTCTCGTTTACAACGGTTATGGCGACAAAAGGCGGAGGAGCCGATGCGGCAACGGGCCGCAAGACATCTAGGGCGCTCCTTGGCGCAACGACAGGAACCTTACTGCTGCGCGGCTCATCACCGTCAGCTGGAGCATCGTCGTCGCCATCCTTTTCAGGCATGGCGAGAGGAGAAACGACGAGTAGGAAATGAAGATAGTGACTACAACTACGTCTGTGTCGAAATGAACAACATGAAGGATTTCCCCTCTAAAACCTGAAGCAGTGCGTTCGAAGGTGGTGGGTAAGGAACAACTGGAGAAGAAGGGGTCCATCAAACCCGTGTCGCACCTTTCTTGAAAGGCGTGACGCGGTTTCGGGACTTGTCCATGCACAACACAGCGCCATGCTGCCTAGTCGATGTGTTGGCTGCAACTGCAGCCAATGGGGATGATGGCCAACCTCTGCAAGGCTGGCACAGAGGGCACGGGCCCGAAGTTCGCGCATGCACAGAGAGCAACAGAGCAGAATCTGTGGTCCTTAGTGGCTCGGCGTGGCAGCATTTTTGCTGCGCTGGGTAGCAGAGTGCCCACTGTGGGCAGAGTATTCATTGGACTTGGCGGATTTTTCAAGGAAGTGTGGATTCTCCACGTGACGCGGGCGGGAATCACTGATGGCATGCGAAATTTCTAGGGATCTTGCGTGCCCCGTGGAAATCTGTTTCAGGGTTCGTACCCGATGTACTCTGAAAACTCAGTATTGGGTTAGCGTGAACTCTGATTTTTTCAGGATCCCTAAAGTCTAAGTCTGAATCGATCAGGATTGGGAAAATGCCTTATCTGGAAATTCAGGTTTAGCCAAAAAACCGGTCTGAGATTTCAGACTAATCAGAGCAAATAGTCTGATAAAGTCAGCCCTGTGTACACGCCCTTAGTGATCGAGTTCTGGCATGCTATCAGAGCGTTGGTTACTCGGGTTCAATTCCCAGTGCTAGCGCTGCAGAGGTGCTGAGTTTCGCCTATCCCAGCGAGGGGGGGTGTCGAGAGACCCGCTGGGGTTACCCTTGAGAAGATGGTTGGGGAAGGGCTGCAGGCGCACTGATATGCTATTAACAAAGCCTTTGAACTCAGTGGTTAGTGACTGAGTTCTGACAGCTCTAGGTGCTGATTTCCAAACTGGGGAAGGTAAGGCAGGTGGGTGGATCAACAAGCCAGGGCCAAAACCAATTTGAGCCCTTGCGTCTGATGAGCATAACCAATATAGCATCACAATTGAAATCTTACTGACACGGATTCAGCTTGCTGCTATTAAGCCATTATATAATTGGCAACATACATATCACGCTTCACATTTATTGCGTATGAGGGCTACTGTTACTTCCTGCACAAAGAATAGACACTGCACAAAACACAGAGGCACTCTCTTACCCCCCCCTCGTTGTCTTACCTCAGCCACACCCTCCCTCCCTCATCCCATCCCTTTCCCTCCCTCGCACATATGTAAATCAGCAGCACCACACCGCACCATCTGGTTCATACCTATCTAGAGCAGCGCCGTACGCAGTGCCTTGGAGTCAAGTCAAAAGCCGGCTCAGAACAGCACCGTGCGCAGCGCAAGCGGCATGTTAACCATGTGCCGGTGCTCATCCGCCAAACTGACCGACCCAAACGAGGTGACTTTTGAGTCGACTCATAAGTCACCTAGCAGACTCAGAACAGCACCGTGCGCAGCGCAAGCGGCATGTAAACAGTATGCCCATGCTCATCCGCCAAACTGACCGACCCAAACACGAACTTTCTCAGCACCTTCTTCGCCTTAATCACCACTGTGATCCGCTGCACCTCCCCCGGACCAACCGTAAACTGGCTCGGCGACACCCGAACCTGCACGTTCGACGGCGCCTGAACCTGCACCATGTACGTCGACGGCTGGTCAAACACGTTCCGAACCGTCCGCACAATCTTCCTCCCCTGCATCGTCAGCCGCGAGATCGCGATCGTTGGACGGTTGAGATTCCACGGCTTGCGAGCCCGGATTCCTTTCAGTCCCGGAAAGGCGTGCTTCGTCTGCTTGAAATTACGGCTGGCGAGGAAATTCACATAATCATTAAAGCCCGAGGTAAGTGTCAACCCAGGGTTTAGAATCCTCGAAGGGTCTACTTGCCCCGAGCCGTAGTCCCACGGAGTAGCCACAGCTCCATTCGCCCGTTTTATCGCCTGCCCGGCGTTGTTCACTGTAGATGCTGTAGTCATCATTGCTGACATCACCTGGGCGGGGGTCCATCCCGGGTTCTTTTGGATTAATAGGGCGGCAATGCCAGCCAGGTGGGGAGTTGCCATGGAGGTTCCAGAAATGCAGTTGAACCTGGGAGGGTCGGTGGCTGCCGAAGCTGCGCTCTTGCCTCGGTACGACGACCAGAGCTGGAAGCCCGGGCCTACAATGTCGGGCTTTAAGATGTCGTTAGTGGGGAGGAAGGAGGGGATGGGGAAAAGGGCTGGGTTGATGGTTGGACCAGTGGAGGAGAAAAATGCCATTTGGGGGGCGTTGGTGGTGTTAGTGGTTTCGACTTCGCCAAGTGTCGCCACGGGATTGGCTGCCTGCTGCAGGTAGTTTTTCACCTGCACGCCCTGGGAGTTTTTGAGGTAGAGGAGGGGCAGCTCCGTGAAAGGAAGCATTGGCATGCTGTCTGTATCGGGTGAGCCACTAAGGAGGATGAGGGCTGCTGCTTTGTAGGAGGCGAGGGTGTTGATTGGGATGCCGGTAGACTTTGTGGCGGATGGCTGGTACGTGCACACGATGATTCGGCCCGCAACCTTGGTTCGATCAATGGCAGTGATGTCACATAGGGCCGCCTGGGGACATGAATGGGGGGAGAGGGGGAGGGTGGGAGAAGTGGAAAAGGTTAGATAAAAAAGCAGCAGACTAGGATTCGCCCCCCAAACTTGGTTCGACTGATGGCAATGATGGCACACAGAGCCGCCTGGGGAGGGGACAGCGGGGAAGAGGTTGGAGTGAGTGAGTGAGAGAGTCTAGTTTTGAGGCGCCTCAAAACTGGACTCCTATCACGCTGCCTGCAGACAGGGAGGAATAGGTTGGAGCGAGACTGCTTTTGAGGCGCCTCAAAATCAGTTGGAGCGAGGAGAGGGGGAGGGGAGAGGGGGAGGAAAGGCGGAGGGGAGGGTGGAAAGGCGGAGTGAGGGTCAAGAAAACAGCATCAGGGCAACAGGCAGATGTGGGGACGGAAGTTGGAGTTGTGATGAGGGAAAGCACAAGGAAAGGGATTACTCACATTGGAAGCTGTTTGTGAGGCCCCTCAAAAAGAGGACGGAAGTTGGAGTTGCGATGAGGGAAAGCACAAGGAAAGGGATTACTCACATTGGAAGCTGTTTGTGAGGCCCCTCAAAAAGAGGACGGAAGTTAGAGTTGCGATGAGGGAAAACACAAGGAAAGGGATTACTCACATTGGAAGCTGTTTGTGAGGCCCCTCAAAAAGAGGACGGAAGTTGGAGTTGCGATGAGGGAAAACACGAGGAAAGGGATTACTCACATTGGAAGCTGTTTGTGAGGCCCCTCAAAAAGAGGACGGAAGTTGGAGTTGCGATGAGGGAAAACACGAGGAAAGGGATTACTCACATTGGAAGCTGTTTGTGAGGCCCCTCAAAAAGAGGACGGGAGTTGGAGTTGCGATGAGGAAACACAAGGAAAGGAAAGGAACGGAACGGAACGGAACGGAACGGAACGGGGGGATTACTCACATCGGAAGCAGACGCCCCTGACTTGACAACAGCAGCCGCCGACAGCAGGGGCTTGTCAACCGTCTGTGCGTTGCCCCCGAAGCTCACTCCCCTGACGTCCACCCCGTTGCCGAGGCTCAGAGTGGCGTAGTAATCGCGGCCGATGGTGCTGTGGTGGGTTGGAGGGGTGGGTTGGAGGGGTGGGGTGAGGGAAGGGAGGGAAGGGAGGGAAGGGAGGGAAGGGAGGGAAGGGAGGGAAGGTAGCTCAATCAGTGATTTCCTCTTGCCTCTCCACTTACATTGCGCTGCCTGTCAGGTACCACGGAGCAGCATAGCTGAGAGCCCCAGGGGAAGGCAGTCAATCCCCTATCCCTCTCAAATCCCCTCCCCCCACCTCCCCAACCCCCCCATCCCCCCACCAAGCCAAGTGACTTGGCTCCACTTACGTTGCGCCCACTGTGAGGTACCACGGAGCAGCGTTGCTCAGGGTCCCGATGATTCTCATGGGGGAGGGCGGGCCGGCATTGCCCGCTGCTAGCGCCACAAACACTCCCGCCTGCATGTAAAAGGGAAGGTGGGAGGGAAGGGGTGGAAGGGGAAGAAGTGGGGGGAGGGTATAGGTACGAACCCAGAACCTGCATGAGAGAGGGTGGGCCGTCATCGCCCACTGGCAGCGCCACAAACACTCCCGCCTCCGTGCAAATCCACCCCATCGGCCACAGCAGTGTCGACAGTGGCACGGATATCGGCGATGGTCCCAGACGCCCCCCCGTGCTTGACCACCCAGAGCCGCCTTGTACATGGCGATGCTGGCGAGGCGTCCCAAAGCAATGACTGCTAGTCTCCGTCCCAACCCGCCCTCACCTTGGCCGCATTCATGTAGGGTATATCCGAGAAGTACTGCGGAACCGAGCCTCCGAGTGAGAGGGAGAGCACGTCCACCCCATCGGCCACAGCAGTGTCGACAGCGGCACGTATATCGGCGTTGGTTCCAGACGCCCCCCCATCCTTGACCACCCAGAGCGCCTTGTACATGGCGATGCGCGCGCGTGGCGCCACGCCACTGGCCGCCCCGTAGCTGCGGCCGTTCATTGTCACACTCACGTTGGCGTTGCCGCCAGCGGCTCTGGGGGAGGGGGAGGGGGAGGGGGAGGGGGAGGGGAGAAGACAGTACAGTGTTGGGTGGTGTGACAGTAGCTGCGGCCGTTCATCGTCACACTCACGTTGGCGTTGCCGCCAGCGGCTCTGGGGGAGGGGGAGAGTGAGAGGGAGGGGAGTTTAGGGGGAAATCAGAGTATGTAGTTGTGTCCGCTCATCCCCACTCTCACGTTGGGGATGCCCGCTGCCGCGCTGTTAGTGGGGAGGAAGGGCACAGGGGATGGTCAGAGAAGAGACATAAGCGACAGCCCAGCTCAAAACACACCTGTTGTGTTTTGAGTCGACTCAAAACACACCAGGATGGCCACTGCCGCGCTGTTAGTGGGGAGGAAAGACCACAGGGGATGGTGGGAAGAGAGACACAAGCGACATCCCTGCCCATACCTCCAGCAGGTGACCTATACTAGTGCAGCGTGCAATGGTCATGGATTAGAAAATGGTCCGTGGCCACAGCACCACCCTACACACCATGAGCCGTGCCTGTCCCCATCCCAGGCACGCGCCCTTTACTGGCTGACGTCTACCTTAGCAGGATGCCTCAACAAATGCCTCAACAGATGCCTCAACGTATGCCTCAACGTATGCCTCAACATATGCCTCAACATATGCCTCAACATATGCCGCAACAGATGCCTCAACATATGCCTCAACATATGGCTCAACATATGGCTCAACAGATGCCTCAACATATGCCTCAACATATCCCAGCAACCACTCACCCCGCACACCACGTGCCGTGCCCGTCGCCATCCCGGGCAGACGGAAAGTCGTTCACCGGGTCCACGCCCTGCCCGGATTTCCGAAAGCCGCTGTTGAAAAACTTGGCCCCGATCAGCTTGCCGTTGCAAAGAGAGGCAGGGAAGTCTGCCGTTGCCGCACACCCGCCGAACCAGCGCGCGGGGACAGGGCCATAGGGGTCTGCAGGCTGGAGGAGCCAAGGGGGATGCATGGTAAAGAGGAAGAAGAGGAAGGGCCTGTGAGGAAAAACAAGTCTGCCGTTACTGCACACCCGCCGAACCAGCGCGCAGGCACAGGGCCATAGGTGTCGGATGGCTGGAGAAATGGGTTGGGAATGGGGAGGAAAGATGATTGGGTGATCAGCTTGCCGTTGCACATAGAGAAGAAATCGGAGGCGTCCGCTGTTGCCGCACACCTGCCGAATCAGCGCGCAGGGACAGGGCCATAGGGATCTGCCGGCTGAGGGACGGGAAAGGAAGGTATTGGGCCGGGCGGGTAGGGAACAGAGGAGGGAGGGGGCTGATAGGGTGTTGAAAAACTTCGCTCCGATCAGCTTGCCGTTGCAGAGAGAAGCGGGGAAGTCTGCGAGCAGGCACAGGGCCATAGTCCAGAGTCCACCACGCCATTGCATGCCATACCGGTGCATGTTCGATCACACAATGGCAATAACGCGTATGTTGTGTAGCACTTACATTGTTTGCGAATGAGGGGTGTTCTGGCCAGATCCCAGAGTCCACCACGCCTATAATCACATCCTCGCCCGCCCGGCTCTGCCCCCCGTTTTCAGCCCATAGGCTCGTGGGCAGCTTCAAGAAAGTTGGCGAGTCTACAGTGAGAGCACGAACCTGCCGAAAAAAAGGAGGGAAAAAAAAGGGAAGGCGATCAATATCTTGAGGCGCCACAAAAGAAAAAGGGCAAGCAGCAAATGCGAGAATATCTAGCTGCAATTAGAGCAGGGCGTTTTCAATAAAAACCCGTTTTTCCTCTCCAGTTCTCTCCCTCACCCCAGAACCAGCCCCTCCCCTTCCCCCCCGACTTCCTCCCCCTTCCCCCCTTCCCCCCTTCCCCATCTTCTCCCCTTACCCACTCCGCCTACCTATCCAGTCATCTCCTCTTCTCCTGCGCTCACCGGTTGGTCTTCTTCGATCCACGCCACGTCGCGGTTCTGCTTCAGCCGCTTCGCCTCGGCGTCTGTCAGCGATACAGCGAACCCGTTAACCGTATAACTGTAGCTCTGGAACATCTGCGACGGCGAAATGTTAGCTTTCTGCAAAAACCGTCGCTGCGAATCTCGCAAAAAGTCGACGAAAACCTTCACGTTCGCCCTCCGCACGTCCGCGCGCCGCTTGATTCTGTCCGCCAGCCGCCGAATCGCCCTCAGCGCAGTTAACGCTGGTCCTTCCGCGGATATCCGCGACGTCGTTTCCCGAAACCCTCCTTGCGCGGTAGTCACGAACCCCTTTGTAGCGAAGCTTGTGGTTATGCCGGGTGTGCTAGTAACGGTGGCGAATCGACCCGAGTTGACGCCTTGGAGCGCCGCTGCAGCGAGCGTGGCGTTCGTAGCGCCAGTTGTAGCGTCCCCGCTTGTAGCGTCCCCGTTTGTAGCTCCCCCGGCTGTAGCATCCGTGCCACCACCCGCCGCAGAGACTGCTCCTCCTCCTCCACCTGCCGAAGAAAATTCACCTGAAGAACCACCTGAATCTCCTCCAGAACCGCCTGAATTTCCACCTGAGTCACCAGAACCGCCACCCGAGCCGGCACCTGAGCCGGCACCTGAACCGCCACCGGAACTGTCAATCGGCGCGCTATCGTTGTCGTCGGCGTCAGTGGGGCTGCTCTCGGGGTCGTTGTCGTCGAGCTCGGGGGCCGTCGCCGCCAGCCCCGGCACGCCGCCGCGGTAGTTAAGCACCGGCGGCACGCCCGCCAGGTGCACTATGTACTGCTTGCGAATGGGCGCAGCCTTTGCGGTCGCAACTGCAGGAGGAGTGGGTTTCGGGGGAGTAGGGGAGGGTAGGGGAAAGGGAGAGGGGGGAAAGGGGGACGGCGGTGAGGGCGGTGCTACCGCCAGGAGCACTATGCACTGGTTGCGAAGGGGCGCAACAGCCTCGTGATCTCATACGTTACCAAGTAACTCGAACGAAAAGCCTCTAGCCTAAGGCCTATGGTTCCCTACCTCCGGCCTGCGACGTCGGGGCCGCTCCTGCGACCACAGCGACAAGCCAAACGACAGTCAGCCATCTCAACGACCGTGTCGCTGACTCTTTCGCATGATTGTTCGGCAATCCGTTCCGTCGCACGCCGGTCGCCCGAGTCGCAGTGCGAGAGCAGGCGACCGTGCGACTCATCACCCTGTCTCGCGTTATTCGCCGGTAAGCGGCTGAGATGCCTAGGGAAATGGACAGTTTCGGTTCCAACTAGGCTTAAGTCCTCCTTTTATTTCAGATCCGATGATTGTGAGGGTAAGGTGGTGGCAGACCCGCTAAACTTTCGCGAAAACGCTTGCTGCAGGGCAGTGGTGAGTTTGCGGGAGATAAGAGAGGTTACGGCACGGCAGTAGAATTGAGAGGCCACGGCAGTAGAATTGCGGACTCAGAGATTGGCTGGGGTGCTAGGGGCAAGGCTGCGGTGGTAGGGGCAAGGCTGCGGAAATGTGATGCCAGAGAAATTGGGCGATGCCGGAGGAATCGGTGCTATAAAATTTTGCGATGCTAGAAAAACTGCGAGTCAGGGCAGCCTCTGCGGACGCGTTTTCACGACCAGCTCTAGTCTGCTAGCCGTCAGCTACGATGACGCTAAGCTGATTAGCGTGTTCTAGAGAGCCCCCAACGGACTAACTTTTGAGTCGACTCAAACGTCAGCTCGTCCGCGATCAGCTATAGTCTGCTAGCTGTCAGCTAAGATGCTAAGCTGGTTAGTGTGTTCCAGAGAGGCCCCTACGGAATAGCTGCCCGGGTTCGCGATCAATCTACAAGCCTTGGCTTTCGGGGCAAGGGAATCAAAGGCGATGATGTGTGCAAGGCCTCTGTGCCTTTCTGTAGTAGCGTACGTTTAGGGTCCTCTCAGGATTAGATTGCATAGAGAGAAATGCTTCTGAATGCACAGCTCCTAGTACTGAAGAGCAAAATCGAGGTTCACTCTTGACAGAATGTGCTGCGCTTTTAGACAGGTCTACTTGCTGCGAAAGCGCAAGTTATCAAGAGGTCGGCGATACGCTATCAGGGCGCGGTCGGTGTTCAGGTACAATGCATGGGCAGATCCATGTTGTTACTAGCTCTTAGGAGGAGGTCGCAAAATTCGCGCGAGCAAGCACCGAAATTAGGGATTGAGGGGGACGAGGGAAGCGTCGTGGGCCACTCGCTGGTGGCATGGTTGTACATGATGGATTTGGATGGGCGGCTGCGATGTGGAAGCAGCTACGCTTGTTGCGGTGTAATGGGATGATGCAATGCGGCATGAGTGAATCGTTGGGAGTCGGGAGTCGTGAGTCGTGCATTGTTCGATCAAGTGCAACGGTGCCCCAAGCAGAGGGAGAGCAGATGGAATGGAACACCGTCAACGAGCACAATACCCTACCTTGTGCAGGGAGAGAAATTGCGGAAAAAGGAGAAATTTCGCGAACGGAAGCGCGCGCGTTGCCGTTCGCGAACAAATTTGGGCGTACTGCGCGGTTCGAACCGACAAACCCGAGGCATGGGTGGAGATAAGGGAAAGTGGGGAAGCAGTGTGGAAGCTGGCTTGGAATTCTCTTAGCATATGTGGGTTCGGTTCGGACCGCGTAAGCTGACCTGACCAGCGTAACCACACCTAGAAGGCTGGTACGGCGTAGCTTGTGCGAAAGTAGGGAGAGCTGGATGTTGTCGCATATCAGCTAAGATGTCGGTGCGCGATGCCTAACGTATTATCGCTGGGGCGACGACCAGTCTGGTTCTGCTGTATGCTGCGACCGATTGCTGTCGGCAAGATGTAAAGAGGGGAACGTAAAACGGCGGGAAGTTTTCGCGCCAACTTGTTGGTAAGGGCGCATAATTTCGATACTGGGACTAGTCCACCTACATGTAGTCGTTATGCAACTCGCAAGATAGAAAGAATCTGTAGCATTTCACATGAAGAATGTCTTGGAAGGGAAAGTATATCCGCACTCAGTATTAGGGGCCTCGATAACATCGGGCCTCAGTATTACATGGCGACATCGCTGTGTCAAAGAGAGCAATGCCCGCGTGGAAAGCCATTCCGAAAAATTGCTTGTGGTACCACCTGGAGAAAACCACCAACGGGTAGACGATGAATGACAGATTGTCGTTGGGAATCATGGTTGTCGATTGCTAGCTACGTGTCTTGCGAATTTGGCTACGAGAGAATGCGTGAATTTGCGTTGGTTATCCTTGTCAGATTAACGAAGTGTACTCAAGCAAGGGATACAAGGGAGCTATATGGTTGGGTGTGTTAAATTATATATTTGATATACAGCGACGGAAAGTATTGCCCGGATAAAGTCCAATTTTAGGTTCAACACATGATTTGAATGCTTTCACCCGATGTATCGTTGAATGTTCATTGCTGACTAATAAGTTACGCGTGCCAGTTACAATAGGGTAACACGTTTGCAACCTGAATGGGTCGCACTAATAGCGTGGCCAAGATTTCTGTCGCGTGAGTGCATCCGGACAGTTTTGGCCAAGCAGCGGACTAGATCCGTTTTCGACTAGAGCATTCTCTCCATAGTTCCTAACGCAATCGTCGAGTAGTCAGAATAAAGTTTATACCCGAGGCGTAGACTACGCCAAGATGAGACCGATAGATGAGGCTCGTCGCGCCCTGATCGTGGCCCTGTTGCGTAGGGGGTTCAGCACGAGGCAAATCGCGAAACAGGTTGGCGTTGGGAAAAGTACAGTGCATGATGTTGGGCTCAAGGCGATTTCAGAGACTAGTCCCGAGGACGTACGTCCTACAATGCCCACTGCTGGTCGTCCACGCGTACTGTCGAGTAGAATTCGTCGTGGGATCGTCAGGGCGATCACTAGCGGCGAGGCGAAAACCTCGAGGCATGCGGCCCAAATCGTCGAATCCCAGCACGGCATCACGGTGCATCCTAGGACGGTGCGTAATGCGCTCAAATCCAGCGGCCTTATCGCAGTTCAGCAGCCTAAGAAGCCGCGACTCACCAAGAAAAATATCCGCGATAGGCTGGCGTTCGCACGGGCCCACGCGGATTGGACCATAGATGATTGGCGATGGGTCATATGGTCGGATGAGACGAGGATTAGTAGGTTCGGCTCTGACGGCCGCGCGTACGCCTGGGTTCGTGAAGGTACGACTCTCCAACACCACCATATCAAGCAAACCGTCAAACACGGGGGCGGCGGCTTGATGTTCTGGGGATGTATGACGTTTGAGGGGGCGGGTTTCATGTGCAAAATCGATGGTCGGATGGACGGGCCGCTGTATCTGAGCATTTTGCAAGACGAGCTAAAAAAACCATCGACTTTTACAAGCTAACCCCCTCGGCTGTGATCTTCCAGCATGATAACGACCCCAAGCATAAGTCCCGTGTGGTGCAGCAGTGGCTTCAGGAGCAGGAGTATGGGGTCCTGGAGTGGCCGGCAGGAAGTCCTGATCTGAACCCCATTGAGCATCTGTGGGCTCATCGTAAAAGGGAGCTGGGAAAGCATGAGACACCTCCCACTGGTATGGTGGACCTGTGGGAGCGTGTACAAGAGGAGTGGGAGAAGATCCCATCAGAGGTGTGCTCCAATTTGATCGACAGCATGCCCAGGAGGGTGAAAGCAGTGATTAGGGCTAAAGGGCGGTGGACCAGGTACTAGTTTAAGGGTTTTTCAAGTTGCTGCTTCCGCCTGGAAATAATTGTCCACATGCACCGTGTTTGGTTATGTTTGCTGTTTACTGTTAACGATAGTAGTTTCATCAAATGTGTAGCATTTTAATGTCTCCCTAGATTGGCCTGCATATAGTGGGTAATGCCTCCAATTAAGGCTTAATGTTCAAATGCCCTTTAACGGTGGAAATTCAAAAAATTGCCAAACATGTGGACAATTCTTTCCGTCAGTGTATATATATATTGGCTTGGTAGGTGTTACTGAAACCTACTGTAGAGGGTACAACCCCCCTCCTTGTATCCCTCTCTCTTCTATTCTCGATCTTTTTTTTTCTCGTCAACTTCCTCTCCTAGCTAAACCCTCACGCCATTCCATGGTCGTCTATCGTTCCTAGCATCCTAGTCTTCTGACATGGTAACAGAGCAGGTTGCCCTTCCCAGGCCTGCTCCCCATGCTTCCGCCGCGTACTCGTACTTCAGTCGTCATTTCCGCTACTTTCGTGCTGCCGTCGCGGCCATGCCGTGCTGCAGTGACGGCGTCGTGATGCTGCCGTCACAGCCCTGATGCGTGGCGTCGATGCCACACCGTGGCAATGGCGTCGCGCTGCCGTCGCAGCGTCGACGTATCGCCGCGGCATCGACGCCGCGCAATGGAGGCGGCGTTATGCTGCAGTGGCGGCGTCGACGGGCGGCAGCGGGCCGCGTGACGTCTTAGGCGCCGCCGGCCCTGACGCCCGCACGCTAGCCATGGGTGTGTTGCAGAAGCCCCGCCCCCCTTCCCTGCGTCCCCTCTTCCTCGCCGCAGCCGATGGCTGACTCCCGCTGGCCGTCCCACCGTCGCGGAGCCCGGCCACGCCGTTGAGTGCTGCAAGCCCTGCCGCCGCCGCCGCCGCCGCTGTTGTCGAAGCCGCCACCACTGTCGCCGCTTGCGTTGGGGCCACGCCGCTGCACGCCGCCGCCACTGTCGCCGCTTGCATTGGAGCCACGCTGCTGCACGCCGCCGCCAGTGTCGACGCTGCCGTCATCGCCGCTGCAGCCCTTGCTGTCGACGTCGCCGACTCACGCGCTGAGGGGTTGACCAGGCTGTTGTAGCCATCGCTGCTACTGAGTATGGGGGTGCTAGATTTCGGGGGTATGTGTGGCTTAGTGTCCCGTGTGTGGTGTGCTTTCGGCTACCAAGACTAGGGGGTGTGTTAAATTATATCTTTGATATATAATTGGTAGGCTTGGTAGGTGTTACTGAAACCTACAGTAGAGAGTACAACCCCCCTCCTTGTATCCCTCTCTCTTCTATACTCGATCTTATTTTCTCTCGTCAACTTCCTCTCCTAGCTAAACCCTCACGCCATTCCATGGCCGTCTACCGTTCCTAGAATCCAAGTCTTCTGACAAGGTGTTGTCCTCTCTAAAGCACGAACCCATCTAGCTATAACTGCTATATGTGAGACATATGTTTAAGTTAAGGGGCATCCCATCTAGCCTATATGACATATGCATATATGTCATATACACACCCCCTAGGCTAGATAAGGGGCAGTGCCTAGCAAGAGACACGCATCTCAGAGCAGCAATACTAGTCCAACCTATGAGGTAGGGGTCCGAAGACCAATCATTAAGGGTACAAACGAAGCAAAAGTAACTCAGGGCAGCACTACTAGTCCAGCCACTAAGGCAAGCCAGTCAAGATAATATAAGAAGTAGTACACAAGTCAAAGTCCTAATAAGTGAGGAGCTACTGGAACTAGACCAAGCTGTTTGCAGTGCCACTGATGATCTTTAGGCGCAATCGCCTTGGTAAAGATATCAGCTGTGCTGGCATCGGAGGCTAAATGTACTACGCGTGCTTGGTCGCGCCACTGTAGCTCGCGCAGGAGGAAGTACCACAGCAGGATATGCTTTGCTCTGCCCTCTAGTCGAGGCTCCTCACACACAAGACGTATGGGACCAAGGCAGAGCTAGGCCACTCACCTAAGTCAGTGAGCAGGAACGTCAGCCAGCGGAGCTCATGTACCGCCATGATACCAGCGTAGATCTCAGCCTCACTAGTGGACTATGCAACAGACGACAAGCAGGTAGACCTCCACGAGATAGCGCCTGTACGAAGGCTAAAGCAACAGCCCTGGGAGGACCTTAGCATCTCAGCGTCATCCGCCCACGAAATGTCTGTGTGCCCTGTGAGAACCATTGGCCTGCGTCTTCCCAACACTAGCCCGATATATGGTGAACTTGCAAGATATCGCAACACCCTCATAGCAACCGACCATTGTTGGGGTCAGTGTCTACCTCTCGCAATAAAGC